ATTTACATAATTAATTTATTATTTTTCTTCATTACTTTGATATAGAGTTGAAAACTTCTTGTCTGCGATATACCACTGCTTATTTTATATTCAAGCATGGTTGGCCGTGATTTAATTACTATATGTTATACAATTTTTATATTTTAAATTTTTAAGTGCAATTTCTTTAATTATAAGTTAATTTCCTTAATTTGTAATTGAAATTAATTTGTATCTTGTTCCTTGAAGGGCTTATTAGCCCTAGGAGCTTATATCTAAATAAATAAATAAATAAATAACTAAAATTTTAACTCAGTCCTGGCCTCCGCCTAAGGTCTTTCCCACGCGAAGGTTGACTACTTCCCTCGCGCCAGACCCGTTGACTTGGCCTGGTCCCTGCTTCCGCCTAAGGTCTCCTCTTTTGTACCAGACTGACCATTTTCTGGTGCAAGAGAACCTTCGACTTGGCAACTTGGTCCCGACCCCCGCCTTAAGATCTCAAAATGTATCGGTGACCATTTCCTTTACTAGAGATCTCAAGACTTGGCCCTAATTTAGCCGGCTTACCGCCTGACTCAACTCACCCAGGTTACTCAGTGGCATCGAACGTGACCCACTTCCTGAGACTGTCCACTGCTACCACAGTTTTGCGATTCCTCGCTCCCTTGGTATCCCGCAGGTCCTGAACCTCGTACCTGTCATTAGGCAACACAGCCACCAGTTTCTTACTCTCCCCAGTCGCAGGAGGGTTAGAACTGACCATAACCACATCGCCTACTGCATACGCTGGAGCCTTGAATCGACGAGCATCATAATTACGCTTTTGAGAGCTTTGTTCCTTCTTAATAGCGTTTTTCGCCGCCCTCCTTAACTCAGTCAAGTTGAGTTGGTCCAAATTGTCCTAAATTTCAGACAGCAACTTTGAATCAGCTGGACTTCTAGGTATATACCCGAATAAAAGTTGAGTTGGGCACATCCGTGTTGTTCTATTGACAGCTGAGTTGATCGCGCTCTGAACAACTTTTACCTTCTCGTCCCACCTGTCCTCTGGTTCACCGGCGCAGGTAGTCGCCAGCGAGCTAAGGACTGTACGGTTCAGTCTCTCGCACTGACCATTCGCCCTTGGTGTTGCTACTGCATTTAGTACGTGTTTTATCCCATACTCTGTGCAGAATTCTTTAAACCGATTAGATGTGAATGCTGTACCTCTGTCTGTTATGACTCGAGCTGGTACACCGAATATTGCGACGATCTGACATAGTGCTTTCAACACTCCTCTTACAGAAGTATTACGAGTAGGCTCGAGAATACAAAATTTTGTAAAACCGTCAATTATCGAGATGAGCTGTGTGTTTTTATGCCTACTTTTTATAAAGGGCCCAACATGATCTAGGTGTAATGTATGAAAGGGCATGGCCACTTTCTCGATAGGGTGCAACATCCCTGGTTTTCTTCCCGAAGTTGACTTATAATACAAACAATTGAGACAAGAATTAACATATTTATTAACAATCTTTCTCATGCCCTTAAACCAATAATTCAAACGAACTTTCTCTAAAGTTTTTTCTACCGCGAAATGGCCTTGATCGTCGTGACATAATTTGACAATGTTAAAACGAGCAAATTTAGGAACCAGTCACCTGTTTCCTTCCTCTGTTCGTCGAAATACCACTCCGCCCTTCAGGTCATATTTGTCAAAGTACTGTTTTGTTTCCGGCTTTAAGTCGCCCGCTTCGAGAATTTTTCGAATTATTTCAATATCGCCATCCTGAGCTTGAGCAACTTCTATACATTCTACCTCTGTTATATTTACAGAAAAACATTCAACTGGATTACGCGAAAGATAATCGACATGAGACACTTGAGTCCCTGGACGGTAGACAATTTCGAAATTGTAGTCTTGCAGGTATACCCACCATCGAGCCACGCGCGGTTGTATATCCTTTTTATTCATTGTAGCTCGGACGGCACTGCAGTCTGTCACTACAATAAACTTAATCCCGAGCAGGTATACCCGAAAGACCTTTAGTCCAACGACCACGGCAAGTGTTTCTAGATCATAAGAATGATACCTTTGTATCATCGGGATTTGGTGAAATCCCGATTTAAGATCAAGGACTATAAAGACGCATTTTCCCGACAATTGATCAATTTGATCGTCTATCATTGGTATCGGAAAATGTATTCTTCGTTACACCATTTACTCCCCTATAGTCTACTGCTAGCCGTATTTTCCCATTCTTCTTACGCACTGGTACTGCGGAGCTTGCGTAGTTTGAGTTACTTGGCCTAATTATATTATTTTTCTCCAAATCTGTTGTTATTGCCTTAACTTCTGTACGCTCGTCCATTCCCATGCGATAAGGTTTGCGATAAATTGGTTCACTAGAGGTGAGTTCAATTATCATTTCTCCCGCTGTGGTCAGACCTAACTCACTCATTTCGAGCTCTATTGTTTTTCGGTATTTATTTAATAGTTTAAGTAACCGACATTTCTCCGCTTCGCTTACGTCCCCGAACGCACAATCCGATTCCTGTATGACCCTCCGCGAACTTGTGTCTACCGAGTTTACCTCTAATTTACTTGCTTTATTTATTTTATCTTTTAAAGTAAATGTAATCCCCTCGGCGTCTGTAATAGCGACCGTCCCTGTTTTGGATAGTAAATCCCGGCCCACTAAAATTTCCGTTGCCAGTTCATTGTCGGGTACAATAAAAACATTTACCTTAAAAGTTATCTTATCGACCAACAATTTTAACCTGGAATACCCAAGAGGGACAACTAAGGCGTGGTTGAAAGCAGAAAGGACCTTGCTTGTTTTCTTTAAAGGCAAATTAAAGTGTCGAGCAACACTTTCTTTTATTATCGAGCACTTACTTCCTAAATCAACAATACAAGATCGTTTCTCCTTTTCGACCTGGCATGTTTTAATTGGTTTGCATATTTTTTCCGTACCCTCGACTTGCATTACCAATAAGCTAGACTCTTCCGAAGGGTCTGCTAGTCATGCCTTTTTTTTCTTTTCTTTATCTTCGGAATTTTTCTTTTTAAAACACGTGGACTCCACATGGCCAATAACACCACAAAATGTACACTTAGGTTTATTACCGGATGATCCCGCCGTCTCATTGTTCGCTTCGGTACCGGACCGTTTTTCCCCTTTTCGCGTCGCCTCAGGACAATCTTTTTTCATGTGACCCGTCTTTTGACAATTAAAACAAGCTGGCTGTTTATTGCCATCACGATTCGAAGAGCGTTTCCGATCGTTTAAATACCGAGAGTCCGTGTGACTTTTCGGCTCTTGTTTTTTACTTACTGGAATCATGCTCAAGCATTGGTTCAACTCCGCGATAGTTTTGTTTTTCGACGCCATTACATTCATTCGAATATTCTCGTCGGTTATACCAAATGTAACTAATTCGACTACTTTATTTTCCGGAATATCAAGTTTTAATTTATTAATTCGCTTAACCTTCTCAAAGCAGTACGTTTGCAGATCTTGACCCGAAGTCGTTTTATGTGAGGCTGCTAATTCAAACAGCTTACCAAAATTCTCTTCTCCGGGAAATTGCCTTATCAGTGATATCGCGAAAACCTCCCAAGATACCAGCGGCGTTTTAAGCCCATCAAACCAAGCTTTCGCGTTACCACGTAATTTTAATATGCCCATATATAACTTTTAAGCCTCATCCCAATCATACATTGACCCAAACATGCTAATTTTATCTAGCCACTCTGATGCTGACAAATCTCTACTTGCCGGATCAAACTCCGGTAATATTTTCTCGTTAATATATTTATTTGACTTTCTCGAACCTAACTGCACAATACCTGATAGCACCTCCGTCAATCTCGCAAAATCGGACTCACCACTCGCTCGGCTGCTATTCCACGACATCCTGTGCGGGGACCGATCACGTATGTGCGATGATCTTTCCCGCGAACGAGACATCCGTTCATGCATGCGTGATACCCTATCACGAATCCGTGAAGCCCTATCTCGGGAACGAGATCTCGAACGATCCCGCCGATGTCCATCTCTCCTGTCTGATCTGGATCGGTTCCGTCTGCTAGAAGGCATTGTCACTAACTTTTAACTTCCACTGGAGCACTTTTCACACACAAATCTAACGTGTTTAGTAATGTTCCCGTTATTTTTTGCACCTCTATTACACAATTAACCGATTGACAGTTAATGATACACAAGCACGTGTGTGTATCCCACTTCTGATCTGTAGAGATGATAAGGTTATAAATAATTATTATTAACTTTTAATTTTAATTCAACTGTTCACAATTTATTGTACTGTTACAAGATCACGATTAATGAAACTAAAAACGATCCGCTCTAGCAGGGGGTCTCAACGACAGTGTGGTCCCTTGACAGCAAGGACCCAAAACAACCCTGGCAGGCCCTTGCAGTGCGCATCGTGCGCACAACCCCTTAAGAAATTAGCCTGATGCGCAAATGTCGTTAAACAACCATCAAGCTAAGAATAACTCCTACACTAAAAAAATAAAATTTTTTAATGAAAATATTGTGGAGAAAGCCCCATCCATATGAAACAATTTATAGGAAATTTTTTAAATTAAGTATGCACACGGAGAGAAAAAGTAAACGTTTAATATAGTATGAAGAGGCGCACGTTTAATGCATGAAACTTTCACGCGCGCGATTTCAGTTAGAAAATTCTAGCAATAAACGTAGGTACACAAGCCTACTACGATTGGAGGAGTTTCATGCGTCAGTTCTATGAGTAACATACCGAAAAAGCATGAATCTCTTGCAATCGTAGTAGGCTTGTGTTACTTACGTTTCTCGCGTGGCGCTACTGCGCTTTTCGAGTGTTAATTTCTTTCTATAAGAGTAGGTTTGACACTCTCTTTAACTATGAAATATTCTCATACTAAAAACAGTTGAATTCTTGCTTTAAGCGTAGTAAAAGTTCGAGCTAGAAAAGTGTGAACCATTTTCATATTAAAAAGGCTTACTTTTTCTCTCCGTGCAAGTAAGATAAAGTAAATTTCAAGCATTTTTTATTTATATCTTTCTGGTAACACTGCTTTATAATTATATTAAAGCTAAAAAATTAGAAAAAAGATTTTTAGTATTTCCAGAAGTCGCATCTTTCCCCACGTGGATTCATTGGTCGTCCTCTAGCGCATTTAAATGTCGTTGCAAATTCTTTCATATTTTGTAATGTTCCAATAACTCTTAACTTGGCTGGTGAATGAGTTGCGGATACATATGGGTCTACCCCACTTTCACAAAAAAGCTACAAAAACATTTAAAACAATTTTTATAAATTTATTTATTCATAGTTTTTAATGTATTACATGAAGAAACCAGTTTAATTTAAAAAAAATTCTAAACATAAATTTTTCTTTGTTTCTAAAAATATAAAGTGGTAATATTCACATTTGCAAAGGCTATAAAAAACAATTTTCTTGTATGAAAAGCATCGAGATTTCCTAATCTTTGATCTTGTATATGTGGATATGCCATAATAAGTCGTCTCATTGCTCTAAATGCCAGTTTCAATCCTTGTGTATCAGCAATATTTTCAATCAAAGTATTATAACCACTTTCCTACATTGTAATGTTTTAAAGAATATTTTTAAATTAAAAAAATACAAATTTTAACATTCAATATAAGATTATATAAATATAGCCTTTTCAAAGAAATTGCAATTAATCGAACAAATTTTACAGTATCATTAATAATGTTAAATAAAAGTAAACCAATAAGGAATTTTTATTATGCACACCATATTAAGACCGTCGAACTGGTCTGTAAAACAATCCAATTTATCACGTAGATCCTCAGAAAACTCTCTTGCATTTTCAGCATTATCTAAGCACAATGTACAACTGTTATTAAATCAGTTTAATATTTCAAAAAGCTTTCGTTCAAAAGAATCTCGTGAATAACTTTTTTTCTGGTTCTTAGAACTTTAATATTTTTTTCAATTACATAGCAAATATAAACATATACTTACACCCTAAAATTGGTATAAGACGTTTATAATCGAAAGCATGAGAAATTTCGTGGCCAATTATAAACCCCAATCGCCCAAAGTTATAGGCTCTATTAAAATTAAATTTTACATATAAATTATAATACACATTTATGATTTTCCTTATTAAAAATATCTAAACAACTCACACTGGTGCATTTGTATGGAAAAAGGGTGGAAATAAGAATGCAGGCGACATCACTGGAATATAACAAATATCATATTGTAAAAAATGTATCCCACTTTCTTTATGTGCCTATGGTATCATTTTTTGATTTAACTCACCCATAAGATTTCTCCTAGGCATGTAAAATGCATTCATTTCTATGTCTCTTTTATTTCTATTAAAAATATGTTTCTTATTGTTATTATATGTTATATTTATTTACTTACAAAATCTAAAGAAAAATTACTACTTTGCTCGCCTAATGTAAAAGTGAAAATATACAACACAAGAATTTAAGAACCAAAAATTAAATTTATACCTTCTTTTTGTCGTGGTAGTTAAAAAGAGATTAAATTTGTGCACCGTTTGAGCTCTTTTATAATTGATCAAATTTCCCAAAGCAGTATTATCAACTTCAAACTGTAAAAATTTCAACATTAACGTACTCAATAGATTTAGAATGTTTACTTTTCGTTAGAATTAAATTTTTACTATAAAGTATATTCTTACATTGTATGAAATTGATTCTATTTCCCTTCTTGTCATAGGAAAACCCATATTACTAAACCAAAGATGAATTCCGTTTACAACAGTTTCTGCTTTAGATTTTAAACCATCTTCAAACCAACTATTTTGAATTTGTTCATTCAATTCCGATTTCATGACATCAAGTAATTTTGTTAGCTAATGCAGTTATAATAAATCGTAAATATTAAAAATTTCTAATTATGATAAATAAGGTATTGTTATATGCGTGTACATTCACGTGAAAAGTGACATACTGGTAATTGTAATTAAAACTTCTAGTACTCTACTTTTAATTTTTAATTAACATTGGAACTAATGAATGATTTGAATTTAATTTTCTCTAAATTAGGTGCTTTCATAATTGAATCCGTACAAAACTTTGCAAATTTTTCACCTAGAGGATTCCAGTCTATTCAATGTGCTAAACGTCTAATCAAGATAATGATAATATTTATACAGAAATTCAATAGTGACAAAGTAGGCCTTTCATCACGCACGTACACATATCTTAACTTACATAAGAAAATTTGGGAGAAATATTTTCCTCAGACGACAGAACATTATAATACCCTGTTGATAATGGCATTTTGAGAATGCAATTATACGATCTATTTTGAAAAAGATTCATATTAAATGTTAAAAAATGTAAATTTCCAAATTTAAAGAATCTTCTAGAAGATAATTTCTATATAAAAAATATTATATTAAATTCAAAACGATAGTACATTATGCACCAAGTGCGGAAAAGTGACATTCCGCATAAGGTGTACACAGTGCTTTGTGTAACACCTGTTTACCAAAAATGTAATTTTTATACTGTTTTAATCAATAAATATAATTTTATGTTGATTATAGTGTATATATACTGAATACAAAAAAGTGTGCAGAAAAGTACACTTTTGCACACTTCTAAGTATGTGTTCGATGGTCTCTTAAATTTTTAGATTATGTGCGAGAAACAGTTATCACCCAACAAATATGTCACTCGCCAGTTTGACCCGTTGACTGTCGCTGACGCATATATGCGCAACTTAAAAAAAGTAATTCAAAACTTCTTAAATGTTCCTGAAACCGGTTACTCGGGGGTTTTCGAGGTCGCTGATTACGAATATGACATTCGTTTTCTAAAATTCAAAATGGCGGATCCAATATGGCGGACGCCAAAATAAATAATTGATTGGATTGAATTGAAACATAATACTCTGGAGTTTTTGTGGTCGCTGATTAAGAATCTGACATTAGCTTTTCAAAATTCAAAATGGCGGATCCAATATGGCGGACAACAAAATAAAAAATTGATTGGATTGGTTTGAAAATAAAGAAGATATTTCAAAAATAATATTTGCCCATCTTTTAGTACTTTTGACCCATTTCCCCCTAAATTTTTTATTAAAACCAGCCAATTTCATAGGTTTTAACTTGCCTAAAATGTGAATCATCTTAAAATTCTATATGAGGTAAATTTGTGTATTCAGATTAATTCAAAATTCTCGTTTTTAAGTATATTTTCTAAAGCTGTGCAAAATTCGATTCGAACCGAGTTTTGTTTGGTTTTGGGGCGCCGAAATGTCGAATTCTCGACATTCGAACTAAGCGAAAAAATTCGAACAGTTCGGTTCGCAGAGGGCGATAACTGTAGTTCGCACATAACTTATAGAAATTTCAGAGACCATCAAACGTTCTTAAAACTTGTTTTTTAAAAATAATTTTTTAATAATTTGTAAATCAAACTTCCTCGAATAATAAAATTCAAAATTTAAAAAACTTTAATCTATTTCAGTGTAAGAAAGTGCGTTATTTCTAATAAATACTCTAATACATACCTTTCATTATACCCCATATTTGCCAACAGCCCGTTAACATAAAATAATATGTTTTGATCTACTTCAAAATTAAACTGCAAATATCGAACTAAAAGATATATATTATATCACTTTAAAATGTATTGCTCGTCGCTTGGGAGGAAGAGTGTACCAATTCATATCAACAACGAAAAACAGGCCCTTCGGTGCGATTTCTGAGCAGTAAAAAGCGTACCCTTTCGAGCGAATGGTGACCCTGTAAAAAAAGTATTGGTAGGTACGGGATTCCGTATTGCGAGTGTCAACCTGCCAATGCGGTATTCGCGAAATACCGCATTGGGGTCGTGGTGAATACGGAAATCAAGGGGTCCCAATGCGGTGCAAGTTTTAAGCTTTAAAAAAACAAAAATACGTGACAGGAGGAAATAATTAGTGTCAGTGGATAAATATGCGAGTTAAAGGAATGAGAAAATAATAATAGTGAATGTAAAAATGAAACTTTAAGAAAAGAAGGTAAGTTGAACTGTCAAATATGAGTCAGAAGCAAGCAGAGCGAACACAGTGGCCCAGCTGACATATGATTTGCATTACATTACTTTCCAGTTTTTTATTTTATAACCGCGTTTCTGCATAAATCTAAACAATATTTTTGATTATTTTAATTTAGAAGATGCTTACCAATTGTACGTTGGCAGATTTAGTGACAAGTGTCTGTGTACGGAGACAAATGTGTTAGAAAATTTTTGTTGACCTATTTCATGTCATTCAAACCAGTCAAAGTTGCTTTTCCTGTGGCGCATTGAAATCAGCCTATGCCGCAATGGGCCCATATTTTACAGTTCATCTAAACTTTTTTTCTTAAAGTTTCAATTTTACACTCACTATTAGTATTTTCTTATTCCTTTAACTCGCATTTTTCTCCACTGCCTTTCATTATTTACTCCTGTCAAGTATTTTCTTTTTTTAAGCTTAAAACTTGCACCGCATTGGGACCCCTTGATTTCCGTATTCACCCCGGCACCCAATGCGGTATTTCGCGAATACCACATTGTCAGGTTGGCACTCGCAATGCGGAATCCCGTACCTCCCAATACTTTTTTTTACAGAGGAAGAAAGCTTTTTCGACGAAGCAAAAATTTGTTGTCAGGTTGTCTGTACAATGACGAGAAGTTGGTCATTCGATTTTAGTTATCATTCCAAATTTTTTTTGACGTGAGACAGTTTTATTATTATTTTTTAATATTAGGGGAGGATGGGGCAAGGATAGTTAAGGGGCAAGGATAGTTAGTTGCTGTTATGCTTAGACGGCTTGCTCAAAAATCGCGTAATTCATAGTATATTCGCGTTTTAACACTAAAAGATGATTGTAAAAATTGCAAGTCAATCTGTCACCATTTGCGAAGTTGGGAGATTATTTTTGAAAAAAGTCTGTTTTGCTAAAATGTCAACGTAATGTTTATCATATTGTTTTCTACATTAGAATTTCAGAATATTTTTTACGTAAAATGTTTTCCGGAGTGGAATTTCCTGCTAAACACGAATATCGTATTTATTTTCAAATTAATTCACGTCGTTCCTTAAAATTTAGAAAAAACTGAAATATGGACTCATGGGGCAAGGATAGTTAGAGATAATACGGCACGGTAAAAGCGTGTTAATACCATTGAAAATTTTAAAAAAGTGTTTAATTGTTCTTTTTAGGTTGATATACATAATGGTGCGTAATTATATACGGAAAACGAAGCTTATGACCAAGAAATTGGTGGTCGTCTGAAAAAAATTGTTTAAACTTCTGATTCTAGTTCAGATGAATTTTAATATAATAATTGCAATTCAGAAAATGTTCCATACATATTTTTAATACTTGGGATATCAATATTGAATAGTCTAAAACCAGTAAAATAAAAAAAAACAAAAATTTACTGATTTTCTATAACATTTTTGGCATTCGAATTCTTTTAACTATCCCCTTAATTTTTGTTTACTTTTTCATTCGTATCTCGTAGGGATTTGAGTCTACAGTAAAATAATGTACAGCAAAATTATAGCCAAATAACCAGGCTTTCCAAAAATACTTTTCATTTGCAGATACATAATCAAGTTTGGCCGCTAGATCCGAAAAGGTCTTACCTAACTATCCTTGCCCCATCCTCCCCTAATTAGATTTTAAACAGAAAATATTAAAATCTTTGATGTAAAAGGCTCTGATAAAATGTTAAATTAAATAAATTCCAGATATATCAGCAAAATATGACCAATAGTTAAAAATGTTTTTATTTACATTTTTATTGCATTTTTTAATAGTATAAATGAAAACTATTAATATTTTTTTGAAACTTGTACAGTAGGTTTCAATTATGCCTTCTTAGTTTGAACGTGTCGCACTCATATGTTTCCATGGGAACATATGAGTGCGACACGTTTTTACTAGGAAGGCATTTTTGCAACCTACTGTACTGTTTGAATTAAGCAAGGAATACATAGTACTGAAAATATTTTTAAAAAATGTAAAATAACAAATTTATCCATTCAGCAAATAAAAATGACTCAATTCATTTTACCCCATGAATTTTCTGTTTCTTTGTTGACAAGATGCAATTCTGAGAATTTTTTTATAGTTCTTTTACAGAAAACGTAATTAAGTAAAGACAATTTTTTGTTAGTACATAATGTACGTTTCTTATTTTATTAAAAAATAATAAAAATCTATTGATAATTTTTCATTTAATCTGCCATAAGTGCAGTAAGTTTTCGAAAAAATTTCCTTCTTTATCACCCAAGGAGAAATTAGTTTTCACGGATCTGTTTGAAAATCATCTGTATGTTGGTGATGAATTTAAAATATGTAAAGAATATGAAAGTACTAAGAGTATAAAATCATCTAATAATAATAATTATCAAAGCGTAAAATAAATTATTATTTTATGAAAAAATACAGTGAGTTGTACAGATAACCTAAAAAACAAATTTTTGCATCGTCGAAAAGGCGTCAGGCTGGAGTCCCATGACTGCGTTTTGCGTTGCGTTTTGCAACTAGGCCATGAGTGTGAGAGAGATAGAGATATATGTTTGCTCTATTTGCACTCATTGCCTAGTTACAAAACGCAACGCAAAACGCTGTCATGGGACTTCAGCCTCAAATGGTATATTTTTTGACGTTGATCTGAATCGGTACAATATAATGAACTGTTAATAAGTCATGAAAAGTGTGTTTTTCTACCAATTAAATTTTTGGACCAATCTGAACCAGAAAGTGACCTTAATACCAATGTTGTGCTAATTGCAAGAAATACAATTACCAATTACGTCGTTTGATGTTGAACTTAATGCTTTACACATTTTTTTCAAATATGACCAATCAATATATATGGTGTGCAAATTTGTGAGCATGTCACCAGACTGACCCGCAAGTATTCTAAGAAAATGTAACCAATTTATCTGAGAAATATAAAAGAAAGTTGTCAAATTTTCTACTACCATAGTCGCCAAAATTAATTAATTTTCTGTAAAACAAAGAACCAAAGCTAAAAACATTTACAGTTACCTGCGTTACAGAATTTGGAGAGAGGCAAGATTCATCATACATTTCTTGAAATCTGCCAATATTAACTGGAATCAATGGCCATTCTATATCATGTACTTCCTTTAAAATTAATTATATAAATTAGTTTTCAGTGAAAAGACTGAAATATAAAACTTAGAATAATGAAACTTTACACAAGTAAATATATCTATAAATATACGAATAAAGTATCAAACTCATCAAAAATCATAATACCTCTGACATAAGCTGTACAAAACGTTTAAAATCTCTCTTAAACATATCATCAGTTGCTCGCATTTCATGAAACCATAAAGCACCGTTCTGATTTGCCAAATATATATCAATAAATCCACTTATGGCCTGGAATGCCAATAGGTTTGATACCGTCTGGGATGGTCTAAGAATCTAAATAAAATGTTTTTTTTCTTTTTAATTTCAAATGTCTAATGAAAGGGGATATAGTTACAATATTATTATTCTAATTTTATTAAAATAAAATAACACTTCTTAAGATAATACAAAAATCTTACGTCAAAGTTAACTTAAAGTTCTTAATTTATTATTAAATTTTTCTGTTTTAAATTTAAACGACAAAACGTTATCTTACTTCCAATTCGTTGTTAGGTCCTAGTGTAACATGAAAAAGAGAAATTTCACCAATTCTATTAGCATAGAATTCAGCCACATTTTGCCAATTAGGACCTGCTTCCTCGCTTCCTCGAACCATAGCTTGGTATAAATATCCTTCTGTTTCTAGCGAGTATGCTATAATAAATAAATAACAATAAAAATCAATATAATTACAGTATTCCTCCACCGATTTTTTTTAGTTTTTGTCTTAAAATAACCCAGTGGGCACAGGGACGCCTAAAGTACGTCTTAAAGACGTCTTTTGGACGCCCTTTTTACATTTCTTCAGATCTTACATAGACATATCTTTCATCACATTTTCTAAGTTGAAACACAGTAATGCATTTTTTTAAATTTTGATTTTTAAGGTAATTTTAGTTATAACCACTAGATTAGTAAACTTGGTAGTATTACATTTGTTGGTCTAAAGTTTTAGAAAATCAATTTTTTAAGTAAAATCAATTGTTTATTTAAAAGTTACAACAATTGCTCAAAATTGTTTAAATGTTCATATCTTTTAAACGGTCCAAGATAATTAAGTTTACTTTTTTGCTAAAAATTCATAAAGACGAGACGCTTCAAAAATTTTAACAACATTTTTCTTATTTTGTTAATTAAAAAAGTTATTTAAATAAATCCCAATGTCGCACTCTATTACATACATTACTGACATTTTTTCTGCAGATTGTCACAAATTGTTTGAACTTTATGACTTAATATATGGAACACTCTTTACTTCTGAACACAATTACTTTGTGCAGCTATTTGTTTCTTGATATATTTATTTAATGATACTTACTAACATTCATGCATGCATGAAAATATTTCCTTTCCATTGAAAGTAATCGCCTATGAGAATGAATGTTTTCATTTTCTAAAATATCTATAATTAAAAAGAAGTAATTAAGAAATTAATGTGACAAATATTTAAATTTAAACATTTAAAAATTTTATTTTGGCCTAAATAGATGTGGGAAATTGACAATTAGATTGCCAATTAAAGGTCGTTCCGCATTAGACCGAATGAATAACCACAAGAATTAACATTAACAACAGTATTTTATTCTTATAAACTTGGAACTAAAAATTATTCTCACAACTGTTTTATAAAAGTATTCGACTAAAATGTCGATCATTGGGTGTCTCAAACTAAAGTAAGGTCACTCACATTTACATTCATTCCATTGCTTAACTCACTCTCGAAGTGGGGAGAACTTAAAGGCCAGTTCTATAGCACAAATGGCAGACCTGACTTTCACGTCTGGAGACCTTCGACGGATCACTAAATTCACTCTTTGAAAATCCCGGAGAACACGTTGAATCACTTTTATTAAATTCAATGTTAACAGGAATTGACGACAACAAACCTGATTCAACAAATTCAGAAGGATTGTTTTTATTGAAATTTAAATTAACAGGTATTGTTGATGACAAACTTGATTCAGCAATTTCCGACGAATCAACGACAGAATATGCTGGCTTGAGATTCTCAACTGATATTTGTTTAAATGAACCATCAACATTAATCTCAAAGACGCGGTCAGACGAGCGGTTAACAACTCGATTAGGTCCGGCGTAAGGAAATTGAAGAGATTTCTTAAGAGCTCGAACCAGTCTAACGAAAACATGTGAACAAGTAGACATGTCCTTGTAAACAAAAATCTTGCGCTTGTGGTGGTGATCGACAGGCACCGGTTTGACCTCGCGCATGTGGGTCTTAAATTCGTTAAGAAATGAATACGAATCTGAAGCAAAATCATCCGGGAGAACCAACTCTGCGACATCCGGAAAATTGAAGCAGGGCAGTGAATAGCCTGGATTCGAATTAGGTGCCCTGATCGGTCGTCACCGTTTGGGGTGTTCCAAATCTCGAAATTCAGGTATTCGTGAATGCGTGTGCGATTGTAGCAGCCTCAATATTTTTTATGGGAACGGCCTCAGGCCATCTAGAAAAACGATCAATCATCGTCAGGCAATAACGAAACTCATGATCCATAGGTGAGCCGCATAACGAATACTTCGACGATAAAAATTAGGGAAACCCAAAAAGCGACATAGTTCGGTAATGGTTTTTGGTCTCGGATAAGATTTAATAGCTTCCACCTTTTCAGGCGTAGGTCGAAAACCTTGATGACTAACAATATGGCCCAAAAACTCCAATTCGCTCTGTCCGCATTTACACTTGCTGACATTTACGCGTAAACCGAAATATTCAGTCGGCAAAAACTTCATCGAGATGATTCTCATGCTCAACAAAATTAGCTAAGGCAATGAGAATATCGTCGATGTATACGTATACATAATCTAAGTCCCCAAGAGCTTGAGATATGTATTGTTGAAAAGTCTGACTAGCATTCCTTAAGCTAAATGTCATCATAGTGAACTCGAAGAGTCCAAACCGCGTGATAATAGCCGTCTTTGTAACATCTTCTGGAGCGATTGGGATCTGGTTATAGGCCATATGTAAATCGAGTTTACTAAAGATTGATTTACCAGCGAGCTAAACACAAAAATCGTGTAAATGAGGGACCGGATAACGATCCGGCTCCGTCACAGAATTGAGCCTATACGATAGTCACCGCATGGTCGCCACTGATCATCCTTCTTTAAGACCATATTGAGTGGAGCTGCCCAAAAAGCACTAGACGGTCTTTTGCATGGGCTCATAAAAATGTGCCCATGCGTAAATTTTGAAGGCGTTTAATGTTTAAAGTCTCACCCTCGAACCAAATAACTGACTGGCACAGCTGCATCGAAGGTCATCCGAGTTGAAAAATGGTAAGTAAAGAGTTGTCTCAGCAAAGAATATGGTCAATATCCAGCATTGTCGGTGGAAAGTTTGACGATAAAAACTATTGAAGTCGATTGTCGTTAGAGAATTAAAGATGGCGAAAGTACATGTTGAAAGTGTGGTTATGTAGACAAAAATCTACAAAATGTAGATAAATCATAGCATCCAAAAAATTATATTGGGTGTGAACAGAAAAAAATCCTCTCATCAATCAGTAGGCGAATGATGCTCAGATGGATTGGCGTTACCCAGATATTTTCAGATTAAGTTGAATGTGAAATGTGCGTGTTGCGAGGTTATGAATATTCCAAGCAACTCGCGTCGGAAGGTCACCAGTGTGGTGGGAAATTAACAATTAGATTGCCAATTAAAGGTTGTTCCTCATTAGACCGAATGAATAACCTCAAGAATTAACATTAACAACAGTAATTTATTCGTATAAACTTGGAACTAAAAATTATTCTCACACCTGTTTTATAAAAGTATTCGACAAAAATGTCGATCATTGAGAGTCTCAAACTAAAGTAAGGTCACTCTTCTTCTTCTTTTCTCGTTACATTTACATTCATTCCATTGCTTAACTCACTCTCGAAGTAGGGAGAACTTAAAGGCCAGTTCTATAACACAAATGGCAGACCTTAAGCCGACCGGCACATAGATTTACACAAAAATTAAATTTAAATTTTCAGGAAATATTTACGCTGAATATTTATTGAATTGGAAAATTGAAATAATTAAATTAATTTTTTAAAATTTAAATTATATAAATTTTTAGGCATCTTTTGGTGCTGTGGGGGTCAACACAAATCTAATAAAATTTGATTTGATTTACCTCGAATCTTATTAATTATATCTTATTAATCTTATATCTTATAATCTTATATTATATCTTATATCTTATATCTTATATCTTATTAATCTTATTAAATATTATTATCTTATTAATTATGATATCCTTTGAAATTTCGTGAATATTCCAAACAGAATAATAATCAGGTAATTGAATAGATTTATTCCAATCACCACAAACGAAATCATAGAAATCATCACAGGGATCTGTTTTATAGTTCATCGCATTCAATACCATTTGTGCTGTAAAAGCATAATTCATTAATGTGATAATATATAAATAAATAAATTTTTCGCCAGGCCGGCGAAAACCGGCCAAGGTAGCAGCATAGTTAGTAACAATGGTAGTTAGTAAATTAGTTAGTAACTATGCTCGATCGTTAGTTTAAAGTTAGTAAATTCTTTAGTAAATTAGATATTAAGATAGTTAGTAAATTAGTAACTTAGTAAGTTAGTTAGTTAAATAAAAATTAGTAACTAAGTTAGTAACTACCCAACTGAAAAATCTTGTACAAGATCGTGTACACGATCTTGCACAAGATCAGTTACAGGAACATTGACCCGAACCTACACAAGATCAGCAAGTGAACTTGTACAAGAAATTGGAACAAAGAACATGAACAAGAACGTGTACAAGAACATGCACATGTACATTCTTGAGTGGCTTTTGAGTTCGAGAACATCTAGGCGAACATGCACCTGTTCATGCACATGTTCGTGTGTGTATTAAAAAACCGTTGTTTTTAGGTTAAAAAATTTAAGAAAATTTTTAGTTATAATCAAAAGAAATCTCTGACTGAAGTTGCAAAAAACTACTGCGCAGCTGTAAAACACTTAGAAAACTACTGCGCAGCCTTTAAAGTATTTGAATGATCATGCACATGAACATGAACCAGTCAAAGTTATACACACACGAACTTGTGCATGAACATGTGCATGTTCGCCTAGATGTTCTCGAACTCAAAAGTTAGTAAATTAGTCGCTATATTAGTAAGTAGGTTATGATGAGTTACTAAGTTAGTTAGTGAGTTTGTAACTAAGTTAACAAGATGGGTAGTAACTATGTTAGTAAGTTAGTAACTAAATTAGTAAGTTAATTAGTAAGTAGTTTTGTGTTAGTAACTGTGTTTTCAATAGAATAATTAAAACCTAAATAGTATTTTTTACCTAATGTTATATACAATATACAAATTATGTACCCTTTAGTCTTTTATTCGCTCATTTCTCCACTGGACAAACGGCCAGTGGAGGAATATAGTACATTTCTCCACTGCGACGCCCCCCGACTGTAAAATGTTTATTCGAATCTCCGTGCAATAAAATGTTAACTCAGAAATTCGTGCTGTATAATTGTTTTTAAAAATTTCATGCAATATAATGTTAACTCAAGTTGCATTCAATAAAATGTCAATTCAACCACCAGTGCAATACAATGTTATTTAAAATACTAAAATTTTTATTTCCAGCCTTTAAATTGTATGAGGTTAAATTAGATTATTAATTTATTTATTAAATTACTTAAATAGATTGAAGTTGCAACTGTTGACAGCACAATAATATTCGTATAGTTCCTTATTTATGGGTTAAGTTTTTATAAAAAAAGTCAGTAATGCAGAATGGTGAATAAAAGATTATTTTTTTATGGTGAAATATCTGCATAGTTTTCCACTCTTTAGACAAACAGTTTGGTTTTACTTCAGCAGACCAATTGGTTGAAAAAAAGAGTTATTATATATGTACAGCGTTAAAAACTGCTACAAAATGGAAAACTAAATTCAAAAAAGGGACTGTTAAAGTAATTTTAATATTTTTAACTATTTATAATTTTAATAAAAATAGTTTTCAAAGTTAGAATTAAATAAATTTTATTCTTTCATTTTCCTAATTAATTTAGTATAAGTAAAAAATATTTATAACATAACTTTTTCACTTTCGCAAGAAAAATTCACTAATTATGTTTTTCTTTAACCTCATATAATTTAAAGGCTAGAAATAAAACTTTTAGTATTTTCAATAACATTATATTGCACTGGTGGTTGAATTGACATTTTATTGAATGCAACTTGAGTTAACATTATATTGCATGAAATTTTTAAAAACAATTATACAGCACGAATTTCTGAGTTAACATTTTATTGCACGGAGATTTGAATAAACATTTTATAGTCGGGGGGCGTCGACTGGTGCCTAGTGAACAATGATCCCATTACCCCGAAGGCGTTGGACAAATTAACATTTTTTTA